CTCCACTCTCTTTCAGACGGATGCCCTGGTTTCCTGTGCGCCGGTTGTCTTCTGAACCAGCCAGGTCAACTAAATACAGCTTTCCTGTTTGTTGTCTGTGTGGCGGCCCACGCTGAGACTTCACTACCTGAGAGCAAACATATGCATTTATGTGATTATTAGTCTTTTGCAGAAGACTGGCAACTTTATAGGACTCAATAAAATCAGTTTTATTTTTGCACAAACTCTGCTTGAATTTTTCTGGATTCTGTTTTAATGCTTAAGTACAATTTAATAAATTTAACAATAAAAATGGCTAATAAAATCAACTGAATTGCAATAAAAAAAAAAGAAATAATACTTAATAAACCATTATAATTATTACTTGAAAAATACATTTCATTGTACAATAGCAATATATTTCTGTCTTAATTTTCTTCTGTTTCAATGGTTTTCAAAAAAGATGGCTAATTCATAAAACTATTTAATAAACTTTTATAATAACAGTGGCCTATAAAATGTGTTTTATTCCCCTCAGAAATTCTGTTGTCTGTTTGGATTGTGTGTTTTGTTTTTTTATTATATAATACAAATGTATTATTAAAAACAGAGGTCATCAAATGAATGCATAAAACGTATTATTTATTTATGATTTAACGCCATGTCAGCAGCAGTGGCTATATTCATGGCAAGAGGAAACATTTCAATTTCACAATTCAGTCATAAATATCATTTCAAAACAATTATATAACAGTTTTGTTTGAAAATTTGAATGCACAAAACTAACAATATTTATTATTTATTTATGATTTAACACTTTGTCAGCAGCAATGTCTATATTCATGGCAAAAATAATTCAATTGCATCACTCAATCAATATCCTTTCATAATATTTACAATTTAACAGTTTTGTCTTAAGTCAACATACAAAAAACAACAACAAAAAAACTAAAATAACAACAATAATAGCAATAAGTTATGTAATCAAATGAAACTTGAACAATTCCTTTCATTTATTGGCAAAAAAAGTGTTGCCCAACAGAGGTTTACAGTTTAAATTAAAACAAAAATTGCCATTCCTTAAAAGATATAAGCTATATTATTATTATTTTGAGACATTCTATTGTACTGTAGCAATTTACTTGTTTTAATTCTTCAAGTTTAACCAAACTTTTATTTTGACGGGTTGTATTTTTAATTGACGCAGAACATGCAGACTTCATATTGAAATAGCAGTATTTTGTGCTTTAATATTCAGTCACTAGTCTAAAGTGCAATTTAATTTAAGTGTAGTGCCCTACTTTTGATTTATTCATCCAAATTTTGAGAAATTCGGTGACATTCCGCAATATACAGTAAATTCTATTTTTATGACTACTGTTCTCTCTCCCAAATACAACCAGCAGACACACTGTAAAAGTCAGTGGTATTTGTTTGATGGAGAGATTTAATTTCAGCACCAGCCACCAAATCATGGTCTACCACACAGAGACCAGGACCTGTTAAAGTGCTAAAGGAGAACTAGAATGAAGAGAAGTGCACAGGTTCAAACCTTTATGAGGAGGATAGCGTGACTGCGGCTGGAGCGCTGGTTGAGTTTAGTAGAGGCCGTGGTGCGGTTTAGACTCGCGGGGATAAAATGAGTGTCAAAATCGGTAAAGGATGAGAGTGGCATGTGTGTTAGCCCGGGAATGAGGATGTTTCTGTCCTTGTCTTCACGGATGGGCAGGTCCTGGGAACCCGGGGACAACAGGTCCAGCACCTACAGACACAAGGTGCATCAATATTCCAGAGCAGCTGCCACTGAAATGGGTTAAGTGTGTGCGTGTGTGTATGCATATATATTTACTTACTAAAAAAAATACTTAGACTACCATTCAACAGTTTGAGGTCAGTAAGATTTTTCTTTTATTTAGCAAGGATGCATTAATCAAAAGTGACCGTATATATAATTATAAACATTTATAATGCTTAAAATATTCTATTTCAAATAAAAGCTGTTCCTTTGAGCTTTCTATTTAAAGAATCCTGAAATATTACAAAAATATTAACCAGCAAAAACTTTCAACAATTGATAAATGTTTCTTAAGCAGCAAATAAGCATTTCTGAAGGATCATGTGACACTGAAGACTGGACTAATGGCTACTGAAAACCCACAGAAATAAATTTCTCAAAACATCTGACCTTTTCATTGTAGATCTCGAGGTAAGACATCCCAACTGAGTATTCCCAACCATCCAGACCCTTTTCCTGAGCTTCAACTAGTTTGAAGACCTCCTTCACAGCTCTGGTAATAACGCCCGGCTGCTCTTGACTGCCAAGCATGGTGTGGGTCTTTCCTGAAGAAATTAACAAGAATAATCTAGAGTCTCTAGATTGTGAATTGCCTATATAATGGCACTTCATAATAATCCTAAGAATCACATCACACAAGCTACTAAAGGAGGCGGATGAAGAAATCTAGGTGGAAGAAATTTCATAGTTTACACTGAGATGATAACTATATCGCTTTCAACAACATGCACTTTGAAATCCATTTTCAAAAGTTTACCAGCGCCCAAAATAGGAATATGACCTGCAAAGGAAAAGACGACACAGAGGAAGGAGTCATACCTGCTCCAGTGGGTCCATAGGCAAAGACACTGGCGTTCTGACCATTAAGGATGTGAGGGAGGATAGGCTTGACGGAGGTCAGGAACACCTCCTGCTGTGTGGTCTGTTCACCATGAAACACATCGAACCTACAAACCAATATACAACGTATAAATCAATCACTGCAAAAATAAATAAATAAATGGTATCATTCACTGAGTGTTCCAAGACTACAATTATAAAAAACAAGTAATAAATATAAACATATATATATATATATATATTAAAGGGGGTCATATGATGTTGCTAAAAAACAAGCGCTACTCTACACTGCTGAAAACTCACGTTTGAATCATCAGAGGCAAGTTCTTTAAATATAAAAACGCACTTACAGTCTGTGAGTCAGAACAGCCGGCATTGTAGTCTACTCTACCAGGATCAGGAAACAGTCCTCCATAAAATGCACTGGACACATTGGAATATTTGGGTTGAACTGTTCTGGAACAGTATTGTAGGAGCTTGTAACACTTCAAAGAGAAAGGAAAAATTGAAATCGCATCATATGACCCCTTTAAACATTTTAAGTTATAAATTTGTAATATTTTGTCCTTAAAAAAGGGATGCAATTATCTTAAAAACCTTGCAGACAATTATAACGTTCCAATAAATAAAGCTCAATGCGGCTGACAAATTGAGGATCAAAAGTTAACTGTCAAAAAAAAAAAAAAAGGACCTGACTTGAATTGATTTTATAAAATTAGAAAATATATTTTCTTACAAATGTTAAAAATACACCCTGAAAATCAATTCCACTGAGTAAAGAAGAAAACACTGATAAATATTGTTGTATTACATTATTGTCAAAATGGACCTAAACCTAAATCAACTAAAATCGGTCATGTATATTATAAAAGCCTCCTTTAGTGTTTAAATGTTTCCCTCCCTGATAATCCAAACAGGCACGTTTAGAGCCAGTGGAGTTTAGTCAAAGATAAGTTTGATATCAGCACCAGCTACCAAACCACGACCTACTGCACTGAGACCATGACCTGTTTAAGGGCTTAATAATGAAGGAGAAAGGCATGAAGACGAAATAAACACTCAAAGTGCAAACTTCAAGGAATATGACTACTGACTGGTACTGAAGGGTCTCAGTGGCGTTCCTCCAGTTGATGATCTCCAGCTTTTGGGGCCCCAGACCCCTGACACAGGGGCCCTCTCCCTTCTCATCCTGCTTGTCCATGTAGGGCCTGAGCCGAACCGCCACACGAAGCCGAGAGGTCCGTTTGGATCCAGCAGCACCATCGTTCACAGCAACACGCTGTGCCATTTCTGACATCAAACCATTAGACTCATCATCAGATATACGCATCGATATAAAACTAATAAAAGCACTGGATATACTCTGGATGGAAAAAACACTCGAGTTTCCTGAATGTGTTTAACTCCGTAAAGCACTGACGTGTTTCCCTTTCAAAAAGCAACACACGGACATAAAAAAAAAAACAATTACATTAAACTTACCTACTGTGTTGTGCAACTGTTAACCCACGTCTCGGCTTATTTAGTCTGTTCTCTGGCCCAATATAAGGTGTTTTGATAAACTAATTTTATTCAATACATCACCACATCTCTGTAAACTCCTCAACAATGGCGCCTGTCCAGCCAAGCACGGTTATTTTCAAAAGATGAAAACCCCGCCCCCTTCACTAGATTTAACCAATCAACGCACCCGAATCCTTCGCCCGCCTTCTTCTTTGGAAATTTAACGGAAGAAACAAACGCGTTGTACCGCCATCATTCGGCAGTATATTGGAATAACAGTACACAATATATTTTTTAAAAATCAGAAATACAAAAAGTGTTCATTATGCAAGAAACAACGCTATTAAATATCTTTAATATACAAAATAAAAATAAAATTTTACTACCCACCATTACTTTCATACAGATGAATATA